ATCAACTGATGCCTGTCGCAAGATAAGCACTCAGAGTAGACACCACAGACAGACTTCTGTTACGCGTTATTGGTGAGCTGAGCCGAGAAGTCTGATTGCGTCTAGTATCATGCAATTTGGTCTGCAGCCATTCAAGGAACAGCGAAGTTTGGTACCCACCCCCCCCGAGTCCTATGCAGCATTTAGTGCAGTAAGGTTTTAATATTATCAATATAAACATATATATATATAAACTTATATACATATATATAAACATATATATAAACTTATATACATATATATAAACAGCTGAAACAAACATGAAACAGTAAAACAGAGACGAAGGACAGAAACTAAATTTAAAACCACAGAGATTTACTTAGAAGCTACAAAATTACAGCGACTTTTAAAAACGTGTCTGGTCTCGTGTACAGACGCTCCTGAAGTCTCGGAGCACGCGCGTGTATTTCGAGCGGGGGAAGGGGGGTCGTCACAGCTTGGCCGCGATCAGCGAGACAACATCGCAGCCCACTTAGGAGGCGGGTCGGGCCCGACGCCGGAGAAGGTCCATCTCAGCCACGGCACAGCAAAACACATTTAAACTTGTAATGGAAACCAGCATGGCCCGAAGTACTAATGTAGAGGAAGTGGACAGAATTGCCACATCACTGTAGTGACTCTATGGTGACACGTAGTAGTCGTAGCTTGTACAGTAACTGACGGACTAACAAGATAAGAAGAGACTCATAGCTCCTGTTTGTTGTCTGTGTCCCTCCAGGCTGCACGTCCTGATAGCAGGACCGATTAGTCTCGCTTGGTTTCATTTCTAACTCTGGGAGAAGTTTCTCTCCCCTCTTTCATTACCCTTCTTATAGCTTAACAAATTACCCCTTCCCTTTGTATCACCAGATCCAGATTTATTCAACAAGTAAAGTGTGTTTCAGTCTCTCTGCTGTCAACACTGTCTGAGGGCCGTCCTCTGCCAGAAGCACGTCTGTCATTGTTCACAGAGATAAGGCGATGCCACGCTGCTGACAGAGCACACTCTCTTCACCAGCTTCCTGTCCAATGGAGCAACAGCACACACTTCACCGTGGGCCGGAAAACCAGTCTTCATCACCATGGAGACAAACAGGAAGTGGTGGTGTGAAATTTGTCTGCAAGTTTGATAGCTGCAGGAAGAAGTATATATGCTAGAGGCATCTGATTAAACTAGAACTACACCGCGCTCGAGACACACACGAGGACGAGCCTCGCAGGTAACGCAGTGGGAGTACAACGATAGGTTTTGTACATTAGGTACGCCGAGGTAAAGTCCTCCGTTTGGAGCAGGTCGATGCTCAAAATCAGCACCTTATATCCAGACCACACAACAGTGACCGTCACACGCACCATGAGTGAAAATATTGTGTGGATGGCGTCAACATTCAGTACGTAGTGTCCTTGCAGACGTGTGTGTGTGTGTGTGTGCTCGGTAAGATCAGCCATTGTCTCTGCCCTTGTGTGAAACACAGCTTTGTTGATTAAGCGACATCTCCCCACTGAGTACCCAGGATGCATCTGTGCTATAGCATCACTGTGACGCCTGTGCCTGTCACACCAGGGCACCGAAACACACTCGGATATGGCATCTGTGGACTTGGATCCCCTGCTTACTCTGTCTCTTTAAGGCTCTCTTTTCCATGTTTTAGTCCTCGTGCTGTCTGCCCTTTTCAGATATGCTGTCTTCTTTTTTCCCTCTGTCTTTATCTGAAAGGTTTCCTTCCTAAAAAATATCTTCTGCTATTACTCCAGCTTCAGTTAAAGATGCACACTGGTTCACTGTTGTCTTCTCCTTTGCCTAAAAATCCTAGAGGATATTTAAATTGCAGGAATATTTAGTTTGAGTTGTAACTCTCACCTATAGTAACACAACAGAGCTGTTGTATGCAAAGCAAACAGGTTCGTTCTTGAAAACGCAACTGTGCTCAGTTTGTTCATGTTTGCTGAGCTGGTTAAAGGCAATAGAGTATAAAAGCAGACTTTGCCCATCACTGGACAAGCTTTTGCCGACTTCAGCATTAAGAGCTGTTTTACATTTGACCAGTCAATCCAGCTTGGGTCAGTTTTTTTTATTTTTTATTGTGGTTACATGCAAACGATGAGTCCTCATAAAACAGACTGAAGCAATCTTTTGAATCAAAGCTTTACCACTACACAGTAGGTTAGTCTGGTTTATCTTCAGCTCCTGTCTTTGAGTGGTGAAATGTTTGTGCTTTTAAACGTGAGACTCAATCCACTTCACTGAAAAGCTACCAACCAACAGCACCTACAGTAAGGACAATATCACAAGACTTACATTACAGACATATCGTACAATATACGGACATACCTTAATCATTTTTTGCTGACCTCAATAATGCCAGTTGTGTTTACATAAAAATCTTACCAACATGATGCCAGAATGAACAGCAGGGCTCTGAGACGTTATAAGTCCTGGGCGCAGCGCCTGAGCCGCATGAACAGAGGAAACACTGAGCTGAGACACGTTTTCCACAACCAGAGACAAACTGTCTCCTTTTACTCCTCCACTATAGATGTGGTCATTGCATTATTATGCTATTATATCATCATTATATCCGTGGAATACAATGCTCTTGAAATGACAGTATTGTTTTCAATGTATCATCCAACAAAAGTAGTAACTGTTCGGTGTAACTATCACCTCCACAGACGGGGTAAGACTCATCATTAATGTTGTTTCATTATTATTTCTGTTGTAACGCATTGAACATCTTTATTATTTAGACATCGTGTATTTGAAGTCAAAATGTTTTCTTAAAAATGTACAAAGAGAGAAGAGCGAGAAGATCAAACAAACAGTTTAAATATTTACAAGCTCAAACTAACTATTTACATACAAGCTATAGGAACAACCTAATCCAGAGATCCGGAGAGAGAGAGAAGGTCAGATGTGCCACACCTGACTGATGAGAGGCAGGGACCCCGACGTTGTTGTCAGAGGAGCTGTGAACATGTACAGGAATTAATTACAATCCAGTATATCTGAATATATTCCTTGCCTTTTCACTAATCGCTCATTTTTAGAAAAATCGAGCAAGAAAGTCTCCAACACTGGTCACTCAGTCAACACCTAACAATTAAAATGATATTCCATCACACATAAATGTAATAATTGTATTTGTGATGATACATTTCTCTACTGTCTGTAGCCCCAACGAGCCCTGGATCTCTGACCGCAGTTACCGTAAAAGTATTTGGTAATAATGTTAAAGTCTTTTAAATACAGCTGGGCGGCAGTAGCTCAGTGTGGAGGGAACCGGAGGGTCGCCGGTTCAAGTCCCACAGACCACAAAATATGGAGTGTGGACTGGTAGCTGGAGAGGTGCCAGTTTCACCTCCTGTGCACTGCCGAGGTGCCCTTGAGCAAGGCAA